CCCCCTCCGTTTCTTCCTTCATTAAGTTAGCTAGATTTGGTCTCTATTGCTTGTAACCAAAGAATCCTTACATAAATGCACTAAACCAAACTTGTTTAACAGTATGACTTGATCTATTTTTTTTTCTGCAGTAGTAGAGAGATGTCTAAAATATGTCACTAAATGACTTATTTAAAGATAGTTTTATCGCTAATATTTCAGTTGGAGTCATGACGCTAGTCTCTTCTCCAAACTCTTTGGAATTAAGTGGCCTCTGTAGCCTTCTCCTTTCCAATGCTTCCCACATAGCTTGGATTTACTAGGATAAAAGGGGGGGTTGGCTATTTCTTGCTCTTTGTGTCTCTTGGGGGCCATTTTTTAATTCATGCCCTTGTATAGTATACATTTTCCAGAAGAGGCACCTAGTTCCCTTAAAAAGAATTTTATTTTCCCCATTACAAAAGTGATACATGATTATTGAGAAAATACCAAGAGACAAAAAAGATGAAAACAAAATCCATCAGATAACTACTTCATAAGATTTTGCTATACTTTCTTACAGTCTTTATGAACACGCATGCATAAATAATATCATACGGGGACCTTACTGTTTTGTAAAGCGGGCAGTGGTGGTTCAGTGGTAGAATTCTTGCCTTCCATGTGGGAGACCTGGGTTCAATTCCTGGGCAGTGTACCTCAAGAACAGCCACCACCTGTCTGTCAGTGGAGGCTTGTGTGCTGCTATGATGTTGAACAAGTTTCAGTGGAGCTTTCAGACTAAGATAGACTAGGAAGAAAGGCCTGGAGATCTACTTAGTACTATGAATCACAACCCTCCAATCCCATTGTGCATGAGATCACCGTGAGTCAGGGGCTGGCTTGATGGCAGCTAACAAACTGTTTTGTAAACTTAAAAAAAAAAAAAAAATTTAGTGACTACTTTCCATATCTTTAAAAGTTTTTCTTCAATATAATTTTTAATGGTCTCAAAGCATTTTTGTCCTGTTGTATTCTTTATTATTCATATTCTTATTTAATCTAAAACTGCATTCTTTTTATACATGAGAGTAAAAATTAAATCATCTTTCTACTCTGAAGTTGGTATAAATATCGGACAGAGGTATAAATACCCCACACTAATATCCATTATCTATTTCTGGTCCCTCTAGTTCACTGGTTGAGTAACTGGTGAGAAATAATGCAGGTGCATATTTCGTGTGATCTAGGTCTTACGCCTTGAACAGAACTTGTCATGCTAGAAGAGTTGTGTAAAGGCTGAAATGACCTTGAGTCCAGTAGACCTTCTGTTCCAGGGAAGTGTATGTATAAGCCATTTGTTATCGATACACTTTAGTCTCATCTTTGTACCAAGTCCACAATACTATGCTAATGAGAACTCTCCTGGACTTGACTGTGAAAATCTTTCCGCAGTATGTTTCAGAAAGTCTAAGCCAAGTGCCGTGCAAGGGGAAAGGGGACAAGAGTCTTGACTGGCTATTTGCTTTGCTAGGATGCAAAAGCTCTTTTTGAGTGGTTGAATCAGGTAAGAAAGAATGCCCAGGGAGGGAGGGAGAAAGGGTGGAATCTTGAATCATCCTATTGTCAGTGTCATCCCTAGGGTGGTGCAGACCACACGGGGTGACACTGTCAGAGGGGGTGACACCAAAATGACTGTCTATAAAATTTTTGTGCAGTGTTTCAGCAGATATTTATTATTTTTTATAAAAATATCCCTGTAGTTAGTTATAACAACAAAAACATTTTTCATAAACCCCGCTTACATGTATCAATATACCTACAAGCCTAAAACTCTATGTTAATTCACTTTTTGAACCTTCTAATGTGCTCCGGTCAGAGCTGTCATTATTACTCAATTACAATGATGCTTCGAATCATGTGGTTTTGTCTCCACGTGCTACAAGCACGTGCTGTTGTTTTCATTGCTGCTGGTGTTCTGTAGTTGCTGATTTTGCCAAATTTTCTGGTGTTATAGCTACAATATTGTGGTAAGTAGTATTTGGGAACCTATATCAATATATTTTTTTGAGAATGAAGTAGTAATTAAAGGAAAAGAAGGAGAAAAATAAAAAAAGGCTTCTGCTCAGTTACTAATAATGTTGTAATTCAATGTAGAAAGATTTTACAAAACAATTTTGTTGTTACTATTCCCATAATCTAAGAAATATTACATTTATGCAATTTACAACTATATTAATCACATATTATCCTATGATTAAAGTTGATAATAAACATTACTAACAATTCTGTATGGTCTGGTACAGGAGGAGGTCCATGGTGGAGGGGAGGTGACACCATGAGTTACCGCACTGGGTGACAACAACCCTAGTGACACCACTACTGTTATCTCAGAGATGACCAAGAAACCCCAAAGCTTCACCCCATTTTTTTAACCTTGGAAGTTGATTTTGCCAAAGTGTTACTTATGACTATCTCGGTCTTGAAAAACAGGGACCTCACATGGTAAACATGTGGCAAGGTGTTTACTATTATGTCATTAGAGCCTCATCACTGAATTTGCAGGATCAGGCTAGATTAAGTGGTAACTATTAAGAAGTGTAGAATCCTTGAAGATATAATCATTGGCGCAGCTCTCCAGGATGAGTGTCCATTCCGAAGGCAGACTAGACACACGCTTTGAAGTTCAAGCTGAGATTTCAATCTTGATTGAGAAAGAAATAGTGCTAACCAAGGTTTTAATTTCCCTAAAGGTTGTGGCAGAATCAGTGAAAGTAGTTCAAAGGGAATGGTAATATGTTGCCAGCCATTCTGGTAGCAAAAAAGAGTGGTGAAATACACGAGGTAGATCTTTCAAGTCTGTATAATGGGTGGGAATCGGTTCAGCAGAGCAAAAACAGCAAAAAAAAAAAAGTATTGTTTTGTACTTGTTTGTTTGATACACAGGCTGCTATCCTTTGGCCGCATTTACATGCGCAATCCCCAGGTAGATGCTCTGGGGTTCTGAGGTTCATCCATCAGTCATCTGTTTTTAATTGCCTTCTTTGTGCAGGGGCTATCTTGGCTAGTCAGCAGGCATGCAGAAACCAAAGCTTTAAGCAAGAACAAAGTATACTGAATTTGAAGTTTGCTACTAAAACAGCAGCTAATGACTAGCAAGCTCTTTGGATCATCAAAGTTTTAGAGGCATATCTTAGATGTATTTCCTGACTCCTGGAGGTTGACAGTGGAAGTAGGGACCAAGATCAGACCTAATTTGTTTTGCTCTAGATTTGAACTTATCCCCATCGGTGGTGGTGAAGGTAATATTGTGGTTATAAGTAGATGAAGAAAGCCTCCCAGTAATCAGTAACTTTGGGAGAGTGTCCCAGTCTCCTTATTTACTCTCAGTTCAGCCCTACCTCTGAATTATCCACTTTTAGACTGATCTTTAAACTCTAGCCCACAGATTGCAAAATCAAATGTCTACAAAGACCAGAAGAGTTAGGCTGCTAACTAAAAGGTGGGCAGTTTGAATCCACCAGCCGCTCCTTGGAAACTCTACGGGGCAGTTCTACTCTGTCCTGTAGGGTCAATGTGAGTTGGAATCGGCTCCACAGCAATGGGTTTTTTTTATTTTTTATTTTTTATTTTACAAAGATCAGGCAGTAGCTTAGATGGATAACGCCCACTGGATAGGGACTATGACAACTTGGAGAATGCATGCCCCATCTAAAGGGAAGAGTCAGCTACTACGCTTTAGGAATCTCTTAGCACATGGAAACGCTTACTCAATGTTGCCGTATTTTATGAAAAATTTTAAAAGAAAATTTGAAGTTTCAAATTTATATGTAAAATCTTTTGTCAACTATGTCAAATTCAAACAAAAAAATTATCTGGATCATAATAAACACATCTGTTGGCTGCCAAGCTTCAACTCTTGCGGTAGCAGCATCTTAGTCACATATTACCCATTTTGGGAGGAAGGCCTAGGATTCCAATCTCATCTCACTATTCAGACTTTCTAAAACATGAGTTAAGAAAATGGGCTCTGTAGGTTCCATCCATGATTCCAATAAACCTTTAATACTAGCCTCATATGAGCTCCCTTTAAGAACAGGGAGGAACACAGAGTCTTTACTATTTTGGAGCCTAATGAGAAATGCTTACAGTTTTGAGCATTTATTACATTTCATAGAGCAAATTCAGTATTTTAGTGGCACTATCTCATCTTATTTTTATAGAAACTCTATGAGATAGGTACCAAAATTATGATCATTCCTTTTTTATTTACAGACATGGACACTGAGGATCAGTGTCAGGCGAAAATTTCCCAAGGTCACCCAATTAGTGGCAGAAATGAGATTTGAACTCTGGAGCCAGACTTCAGAACCCAATTTTTATCCACTATTTTATACATCCTCTTGCTACATCATATGAGCTTTTACCTTCTATAGTTTCTTTGGGTGGTGATGAACTCTCCTCCTAAAACATCTTAAGAAATTTGTAAGGATGTTTTCTGTAAAACACAGGGACATTCTTTATTCCCATTCCCATATAGGGTTTTTGCAAAATGTGTGGGATCCTTCTGATTACTGAAGAGGGAAATTTTTACTAATGCCTGCCTTGAGACCAGAGATGCCAATCCCCCTGTCCATGCCATTTTCAGATGAGGTAGTAATTGAAAGCTAGAACATAGAGTTTAAAGGCCAAAATCACGGGTTTCATCTTCATGTGGACAAGTTAATTTTACTTAGTCCATAACCACAGAGCACAGCTCTAACTCCAGCCAGCCATCTCTCAAGTACAAGCAGTGTGGGTGTGTAAATCATCCCTGTTGACAGAAGCGCTTGCCCAGTCCCATGTACAGATGGCACCTAAACAGCATCTTTGCCATAAATAAGAGCAGTATGATGTAGCCAAGGAATGCAAATAGATTTTAACTCAATTGACAATGCCAAATGATGAGTAGTTGCTGCCAAGAGGAGCTCTGTGTTGAGAAGGATTCAGATATGAGCTTATCAAAAAAGAGTGCCATAATTGATTGCTCTTGTCTGCCACGGGCTTGGGATATAGAACTAGCAGCAAGTGTGCCCCGTACTTGCCATCTCTGATATAGTCTATTAATGGGAAAGAGCTAAGATGTTTTAACCTTGGACAGCTTGAAGCACGTGCATTTTAATTTGAGATTCTATCGTTTCTTCCTCTTTCATATTTCTTCTCGAATGCCTGCTTTACTACAGAAGAAATGGCCAAACGCACCTTCTCCACTTTGGAGTGGCTCCTAATTTTCCTCCTTGTGATGATGACTGCTATCACAGTGGCCCTTCTCAGCCTATTGTTTACCACCAGTCGGACCATTGGAAACCATAAAGGCAAGTGTCATGCACTCTCTTGGACGCTATTCATAGGCTTGAGGGAAATGTCTTAATTATTTGGGACACCAAGGCAAGAAACAGTGCCAGCTGATGGTGCTGATAACTGGAAGTTCTATGTGTACTGAAGCCATCTACATTAATTACCTTCTACATTAATCACTCTTTCTGCATTGACAGCAGTTTTTATCAAGTTTACCTTTGTCCCCAAATAGCCAGCTGACAGACATTCTGACATGCAGTTTTTGCCTTTGAGTTTTCCATTGATTGAAGCACAGCCTAGGATTCTTCAAGATCCAGAAGCGAGAGCTTTTGCCCCAAGATTCTTCTATTTCTCTTTGCCTTTTCCTTGGCATCATCTTCTCTTGAGGTCAAAAGGAGAATGAAAGACCCACTGAATGGCAAATAGTCCATGAAAAAGTTTAGTGAAGGGATCTCAAAATCAAACCCTTCTGAGGACCAATCAAGTTCTGTAAATAAGATGGAGTGGTAGGAGGCACAGGGGAGGGACAGGGGGGTTCTGGTGAAGTGAGGTCCGTTGCCCCTCTCTAGCATCAGCTGTTTGTTGTCATGACGTCACACTTATCCAGAGGTCCTGAGTTTTTAAGAGAAGCTGTTGTGGATTGAATTGTGTCCCACAAAATTTGAGTCAACTTGGCTAGGCCCTGATTCCCAGTGTTTTGTGGTTGTCCTCCATTTCGTGATCGGATGTAATCATGTGCTGTAAATCCTAGCCTCTATGCCTGTGGTTACGGTCCCATTTGGGATTTTTAGACATCTCTTGATTAAAATGTTGGAAATTAATTTAGGTTTTGAAAACTGTCTAGGCTACATTTGCAAGCAATATTGGGCCCAAGGGTTTTTGATGGAACCTTGACCTCAGTGTTAAGTTATATACCTGGAAAGTAAGTGGAGAAGATAAGTAAGGATTGGAGGCTTTGGCCATAACAAAGGAAAGAATGGCCTTAGGCCAAGTGGAGCAGGAGATAGCATTTTTACCTGTTTCTCTTTTGTGGTCTCTTCTCTTTTCCAGTGTATTCTTTACCATGCCTCTGTGTTTTGAATTCCCTGTACCCACAGAAAAATTGAGGTCCTCTCTTCCAGCAGTGGGAAAAGCAGGGTCTTGGAATGCTAGGAATGAAAGGATCCTTAGGACTTACATAGTTTAACTCTTAAAATTAGTGAATTAGGAGGTGGAGACTCAGGGAGGTTATTAATACCTATACTAACTATTCTCATAATAACAGCTAGTCTTAGTGCCGTTTTACATATGGAGAAAGTGAGACTCTGAGATTGCAAGAAACTTGCCCTTGGCTATGTGGCTTGGTTTGGCTTTCCGTGGCACCATTTCCTACCTTTGTACCAATGAGGCAAGGCAAAGGTGTCTGCTTTCTTCCTCACAATACTCTCGTGCAGAAAACGTGGGCTTGGGGATGAGAAAACATGGATTCTAACTCCGTGTAGAATGTGGTCAAAAGAATCAGATTCAGAGCCTGAAGATCTGGGTTGAGCACCTGATGCATCACGTGTTCTCCATGAAATCTCAGTTAAGTCTCTTCTCTGGGCTTTAGTTGTCTCATCTGTAAAATGGAGGTGGTTGGACTAGGTGATCTCCAAGTTTTTTGATCTTCAAAATTCTAGGATTCCAGAAAGAATAAACTCTTAATCTTTTGCCTAAGTACTTTCTAATCACTAGTGCTTGTGACACTCACACTTGCTGCCTTGGCCACCCTTGAATGTTTTTCTGGGAGGAACAAACAGGAAAACAAAAGGTCTAAACATGCAAATAAAACCATAGCTATATGCCAGCCATTGTTCTAAGTTATTAATATATGGTAATGTATTTACTTCAAAACTACCCTAAGAAGTGGGGCACTATTATTTTCTCTGTTTTATAGATGAGAAAATTGAGGTAAAATAGGTTAAGGATTTTGTTCAGCTAGTAAGTGGTAGAGTCAGGTTTCAAACCTAGGCTGTTTGTTTCCAGAACCTGCCCTCCCATTCTCTACACCCTTCCGCCTTTCCTGATATTCATGTGTGTGTTTGTGTGTGTGGGTATGTATTATAAATATATATAATCAACCAGTTGATGTCGACTCTGACTCATGGTGACCCCCCTGTGTGTCAGAGAATTGTGCTCCATAGGATTTTCAAGGGCTAATTTTTGGAAGGTCTTTCTTCTAAGGCACTTCTAGGGGGACTTGAACCTCCAACCTTTTAGGTTAGCAATCGAGTGCATTAACCATTTGCACCACCCAGGGATTCTGTAAATATATATACATACACATTAATATGGAATGTATTATTGATATGAGAATAATTAAAATAAGGGGGAACTATATCAGCAAGTGTAAAATGATTTAGGACGCATGAAGAGTAGAAGTCTTCAGAAGGTGGAGGAGGATCAGTAAAGGGTAGGGACAGCTGGCTTCCTGAATATGAGAGGTTGAGCTGGATCTAGATGTGATAGAAAATGGAACAAGCCTGAAGGGGTTGGCGAAAAGGAAAGGAGTGAGAGCTCTGGATGCAGAGAATGGTAGAAACCAATCCCCAGAGGCTGTGTTTGGTAGGTTGTGTGCCAAGGACTTGGCACCGGACTTGCTTGGCTGAGAACAAAAGAGCAGGGTAAGTGAGTGAAAGAGGATGAGTTTGACAGGGAATGGCTTGTGGTGAGAAGTTGAAGGACATTTGAGGGAGGCTTTGATTGTCAGGTTGAAAACATCTTCACTCCAAGGAAGATCCTGCTTAGGAATATGATATAAAATGGGTTCCTAAAATGCTTCTCACTGTATATCTTAAATAGGAGAGAATATACAAAGATTTTCCTTAGGAACCTGAACCTATGTGTTCTAATCAATCAGTCAACACCAACAAATAAATGGGCTGAAATATTGTTTTTCAAATATCTTATTCTGTTTTCCAGCCACCCAAAACCATCCACCCACCCAGGGCTCCACCACTACTCAAGCTCCTCCAGTGACTTACACCTCGGAGCCTCCATTCTTTCAGAACGTCAGTGGCTACAGTATTGGTCGTGGGCGAGCTGACTGCACAGGACAAGTATCAGATATCAATTTGGTAGGTAAAATATGGGCTTCTCAAGTAAACTGCAAAATAACTCATTTTATTATTTTGCATCCTGCATTCATTTCTGGTTATTACATCATCATCATCTAGCTTTTCTATTGACTTCACTGCTGTCTAACACTGTGAATATTGTGCTATAAGGAAGAGGGACATTTTATTCAACCACAACTCCATCATAAATTCAGTTGGCCATTTTTTATGAGTAGAAGTGGCAGAGCTGGAAAACTCAGTTATGGCGGGGGGTGGGCAGGTACCATAAATGACTAAAGCAGGCCAGTGTAAGATGATAAATGTAAATCCTCAATTTACAGGACAGTAGGAAGTGGTGGGGACTATGGAGACATTAGAAAGTGGCCTAACTGATAGTTGCCATGTAAGAATGTGGGCTCAGGGTTGCCATATTTTCCATTTTTTTTCAAGAGAAGCCAGAAGGATCTCTGGACTGGAGATCTGAGGATTTAAATCTCTGAATTTAAAAATGTAGGCAACTCTAGTTAAATCTGGAAACCTAGTATGGGCCAACATTGTGTAAGGCAATTAGAACACTTTTTATGGGTCGGGTGTGACTGATTGCTGGCTATGATAGTGGAAATACCTATTTACATCAACCCTTCCCTAGGAAACCAGAGCATGAGATTGTCTGATGGGATTTTCTCTGTCCTACCATATAGTCTTTAAATTCAGGAATTATTCCCTGGTGTCTCTTTTGAAAAGTGGCCCTGGAATGTCAACCTAAATGAACACTCATATGAGGAGTAAAGCAAGTGGTAGAGGGAGCATTCTGAAGACCTGGGTGCAGGTCTGGGTTTTATGTGATGATGAGAGAAGGGGCTTGGCATAGGTATACTTGATCTGACTTGACTTAGGGAGGGACGACATGGCAAAAGCCAGGGTAAGCTATTCTATGTAAGGATCATCACTTACATCAGAGAAAAAAAATCACACCAAACAACCAAAGTGAGGGTGCCTTCAATCTTCAGGACATTCCTGGGCAATGTGGGGTAAAGAAAGGGAAAATATTTCCATCTGTGGTACTTTAGACAGGCAGGAGAAAAGATTCATTTCAAAGAATAGAAAGACCCTCAACAATGTCCAATATAATCATGGAATTTCTAAGCCACCCCAGCTCCCTTCTTGCTCAGAGGCCAGTAAATAGCTTCTGCATCCTGATTAATACATTGACTTCATGTTTTTCTACACATAAGATTAAAGCCTCTTTTATGATTTGGCTTCATTCACTCGGAGCCACAGTGTCATATGGATTTTTTAATTTGTCTTTCATAGGTAGTCTCTTCATGTATTGTTGTGTAGATGAGTGAGACAGAACAGCTCTGAGTCTCTCTTCCTTTTCAGATGGGCTATAGCAAAGCTGGCCAGAATGCACAGGGCATCCTCACGAGGTTGTATAGTCGTGCCTTCATCATGGCGGAACTTGATGGGTCAAATCGAGTTGTGTTTGTCAGCATTGACATAGCCATGGTGTCCCAAAGACTCAGGCTGGAGGTAAGTGGTTGCATGGACAAAGATGACATGGTTTAAAAGAAAAGTCTATGGGAGATTGTAATGGAAACTAAACACTTTTGGTTTCTCATCCAGTAAGTTTCTACTACCCTCAGCATCATAAGCTCTTGACAATGCAACATACAATTGCACAAGGACATTATTTTGTTCTAAGTTATCTTGACCAAAACCTGCTTTCAGTTCGACTAATGGCTCATCATCATAATTCATGCTAATTTTTTTTGAGAGTGTACTATGTTCCAGGTGGCCTTCACATAAATTCTCTCATTTAATCCTCCTTGTAAGAAGTTTGAGAGCGCCAATTAATCACTAACCCTTCCCTTGACAATTGAGAATAGATGCAAGGACCCAGATGAGAAAATACAGCACTGAAACGAGGTTGGCCATGAGTTGGCAATTGCTGAAGCTCGGTAAAAGGCACAGGGAGGTTCATGATCCTATTCTGATTACATTTGTATGTGTTTGAATTTTTCCAGAATAAAAATTTAAAAATAATTGGACATCAACTCTCTTAATTTTAAAACTGTATTGTGGAATCTGGCCGGTTCTTCTATGGTTTTCCCTAAATTTACATACTGATACCCTCTTTTGGGAAAGTGAGATTATCAGAAAGGTTCATGGAGGGTCCTGGGTTGTCATAGACCCTATAAGGTACAGGAGAGAGAGAGAGGAAGAGAGGGAAGGAGGAAAAGACAGAGGGTGGGAGAGAGAGGGAGAGAGAGAGGAGGAGAAGGAAGAAAAGGGAGGGGGGGCAGAGGGAGAGGGGCAGAGAGACAAGGAGAAATAGAGTAACAGAGTGACACACTCTTGGACTTCCAGGTCTATCTAAGCCAAGTCCTAGGCTCTGATCCAGTTATATTTTCTGCATAAAATCAGATCACAGAAAGAGAATATACTCTGCTAATGTCATACATATTCATGAGTGTGGGAAAGAGGAGTCTGGAGCACCCAGAATAATTTCCATTAAACGTCAATCACTCAGTGTCATACTCTATCAATGTTACCTATTAAACACTTTGTTCCTCCTGCTGTGTGAAGGGGTCAGGGAAGGGGATGAAGAAAGGAGCTAAAAGCATTTCTTCTATTTCGCTCCCTCTTGAGGAGTACAGTAGAAGCCTCTCCCATCTCTGAAAACACGAGGAGCCAAAATAAAACAAAACAAAACACCAAACCAGTTACTGTCAAATCAGTGCTGACTCATGGTGACCTTATGTGTTTTAGAGTAGAACTGCACTCCATAGGGTTTCCAACGGCTGTGATCTTTTGGAAGTAGATTGCCAGGCCTTTACCTGAGGCATCTCTGGTTGCATTCAAACTTCCAGTTAGTAGCCAAGTGCTTAACTGTTTGTGCCAGCCAGGGACCCCTTATATGAAGAGCAGAGGGTTGTTTTTCCCATCCCTACACTCACAAAAATCTTTGAGGTGGGTCTGTTATCCCCACTTTTTCAATGAGGAAACTGAGTCTTAAGAGGTTAAGTAACTTTCCCAAATTCACATAGGAAATGGCAGAGCTAGGTTCTGAACACAGGTATGCCTGATCCCAGAGCACACCTTCTTAAAAGGGACATTATTCTGTATTTTGGAGGAGAAAAATGTATTGATCTCCTGCTTTTTGCAAGACACATTGTTGGTCACGTCAGGAGACATGCAACTCTGGGAATCATAGTCTGTGTCCTTCTAGGCGCTTACTGTCTAGTTGAGGGGTAGAAGGAAGGACTGTAGCAGAAATTCATGGATAACTGTAATTCATTGAAGAGTACAGTGGTGTATTAGCTATCTATTACTGCATCACAAATTACTCCAAATCATAGCGGCTTAAAACAACAAATGTTCATTACTTCACATGTTCTGTGAGTCAGGAATTCAGGAGTGGCTTAGCTGGGTGATTCTGCCTTAGGGTGTCTCATAAAATTGCAGTTAAGACGTCAGCCAAGGCTGCAGTAATCTGAAGGCTTAATTGGGGCTAGAAGATCTGCTTCGAAGATGGATCTCTCACATAACTGTTGACATGAGGCCTCAGTTTCTCACCAGGTGGGCCTCTCCATATCCTTATGACATGGCAGCTGGCTTCCCTCAGAGTGAAGATCCAGGAGAAAGAGCAAGGAAGAAGCCACAACACCTTTATGACCTGGGCTCGGAAAGTTGCACTCCATCACTTTCACCACATCCTACTCAGTAAAGGGATTCACAAAGTCCAGCCCATACTCAAGGGTAGAGAAATTCAGCTTCAGCCCTTGAAGAGAGGAATGCTAAAGAATTTATGTGCACACAGTTTTTTTCTTTTTTTTTTAACTACCATAAAAGGAGAGACAAACAATGGAAATTAGGAATAAGCTCTCATACAGGAAGTGACATTTGAATGGGCAGAATTTTGAATGGTTAAGACAGGGAGGGAGAGATACCAGATGGAAGCGAAAAGATGAGCAAAAGCACAAGGGAGAGATATAGATTCTTTTGAGGGAACATGTAGGACTTCTATTAGGACATACATAGGTGTGTAGTTGGAGATGTACCTGGAAGGTGGGTTGGTTCTAATTGTGGAGGACCTGGGATGTCACACTGTTTGTTAATTCTGTAGGTTGTGGGTAGTCTTAGAAGACTGTGAGTGTGTGAGTGTGTGAGCACAATTTTGCTTTAGGACAACTGATCAGACAGTGATGTGTGATGTGGATTGGAATAGAGTGAAACCAGAGGTGAAGCCACAAATTAGCAGATTCTTTAAATTAACATCCAGGCTCTGTGGTGAGGATACGGTTAGGAAAATAATCACACTAGGCATTTCAAACAAAGAGTAATTAATACAGGATAATTTTACAAGGAGTTGAAAGGCCAAAGGAACAAGAAAAGGAAGCTAGGACTGCAGGAAGGGCTTTAACTTTGCCTGGCTGTTTCCCCTGCATCATGGGAGGCTGACCCAACCAACAGAGTGGCAGTGAGATTAGATGGTGGTAGGAGGCGAAATGCAATGCTAATGAGATCTAGGGATCGATGGACATCAAAGCTAACACGTATTACAGTGAAACCTGTGAGAGCTGGAACACTGTATAGGACTGCCTTGTTTTCCCGGGTCTTGCAAGTTTTCCGCCTTTGACAGAGTGCAGTCTTACCACTTTTCTATCGCTTTCTATTAGCGGAAAATATTTGAATTTTGTTTCTCTGACAGGTTTCTGCCTTATACAGGTTCTGTTTTTCACAGGTTTTACTGGACCATGATGAGCCAGTGCCTTATATATATCAACTTATTTAATCTTCCAAACAACTCTATGAGGGAGGTGCTATTATTATCTCATTTGACAGACTGGGAAACAGAGTTGCACAGGATCAGGTAATCTGTCCAAGGTGATACAGGAAGGACTGTCAAAGCTGGGTTTCAAACTTAGGCGTGTTGATGCAGAATCCACCCTCGTTACCACTGCACTATACTGCTTTTCTGAGGACTCAAAGATGATTCTGACTGGAAAATGGTGGGGTCATTGAGCGAAGTAAAAAACCAGTTGTCTTGGAGTCCATTCCAACTCATGGGGACCTCAGATGTGTCAGAGTAGAACTGTGTGCCACTAGGTTTTCAATGGCTGATTTTTTTCAGAAGTAGATCACCAGACCTTTCTTCCAAGGCACCTCTGGGTGGACTCAAACCTCTAAACTTTTGGTTAGAAGCCAAGTGTGTTAACCACTTTCACTACCCAGAGACTCCTTAACAGAAATAGGAGAGTCAAAAGGTAGATTTTGGAGGTAGGATCATGTGGCGAGAGGGGTTTAACGTGTTGGTTTGTAGATGCGATCAAGTCAATGGTGGTCACTGTTTATCCATTTCTTCCTATTTTTACTTCCTGATCTTAGTCATCTAGTGCTGCCATAACAGAAATACCACAAGTGGATGGCTTTAACAAAGAGAAATTTATTCGCTCACAGTCCAGTAGGCTACAAGCCCAAATTCAGGGCATCAGCTTCAGGGGAATGCTTTCTCTGTCAGCTCTGGAGGAAGGTCCATGTCATCAATCTTCCCTTGGTCTGGGAGCTTCTCTGCACAGGAACCTCAGGTCCAAAGGACGTGCTTTGCTCCCGGCACTGCTTTCTTGGTGATATGAGATCCCCATGTGTCTCTGCTCACTTCTCTCTTTTATATCTCAAAAGAGATTGGCTTAAAACACTATCTAATCTTGTAGACCTCATCAGTATAACTGCCACTAATCCGTCTTATTACATCAGAGTGATAGAATTTACAACACATAAGGAAATCACATCAGATTACAAAATGGTACTCAGTCACACAATACTGGGAATCATGACCCAGCCAAGTTGATAGATATTTTTTGGGGGCACAATTCAATCCAGGACACTTCCCCATGTAGTCTGAGGCCCAGTGGAAAGGCCTTTAAATGAATTCACTTAGTTATCCCAAGTTAACCCAAGGGAAGGTGTAAGAAATAAATGTAGTTAAACAAGTGCCATTAAGCTTATTTATAGCACCTGGTTTTAGGCAGGTTCTCAGTCTCAGCGTTAAGATTGATTGAAATTCCCAGCATGCAGTAAAGATTAGGGAAGGTTTCCGAGTAGTGGGATGGGGTAGGAAAACAGGATGACTTTCTAACTCTTGTTCCCAAGTGTGTCAGCAATAGGAAATGGAATGGAAACTGAAAACAAAAGAATGCTGTCTGTAAACATTAATGTAAGTGCTTTGTTCTGGGTTAAAATCTCTCTCCTTCCATGAAGTAGGAAACCCGCTTCCTACTGCAAATATAATGACTATTTGCCATCATTGGTTATTGTATTACTGAGTTTTTAATTTCTTTTTCTTTTCTTTTCCCCGGAAGTCCCATGTGTCTGGCTTCATAGCAGACATTTTAGTTGAGGATAAGGTTTCTGTGGGTCATTTGCAATTGTTTTCCTTTGATTTAAAATTCAAGATTTATAATTTCTATTTTTTTAAGAGCTTGATTCTGGAATAAGCATAACAAAATACATTTAATTCTAAATACCTAATGTCATATGTAGTCTTTAGGTATAAAAACAGGGTGGGGCTAGGGGAGCTTTAAACATGACTCTTCTGTAAACCAAATCCACTGCTGACAAGTTGATTCCGACTCACAGTGACCCCATAGGGTTTCCAAGGCTGTAAATCGCTACCAAAGCGGACTGCCACAGCTTTCTCTCTCCAAGTCACTGGTAGTTTTGAACCGCTGACCTTTTGGATAGCAGTCGAGTGCTTTAACCACTGTGCCACCAGGACTCCAAAGGTGACTAGCAGCTCTTTTTTTTCTCTCATCTTTCTTAGTTGCAGAATTGTAAGAACATTAGACTTTGACTTTAGTTCAGTTTTTGCGGTGTCCCTTTGTTGATCAGACATTGTCTCTTTACAGAGGCTTCTGTCCTTCATGAGTGTGGTAGCTACCATGTGGATGAATATGTGAGGATAATGAGTAGGTGGGCTGGAGTTAGGAGCAAATAGAAAGAACATGGAAACTTATTGAGATGGGGAAGGTGGGCTACTTGGTTAGATGGGTGTTGGTCTGGTTAGATTGTATTTCCACATTCTTTGAGTATCACAAAATTGCTTACATAGACATGGTAACCTAACAACTGGTCTTTGGAGGGCATGGAGAGGTTAAAGAGGCAAGATGGCTTATAAAATCTTTCTCCTGATTCAATGACCACATCACTGGAATGAGGATGGTGTAGTTCTTTATCTAAAATAGAAGGAGTTGAATGGATGTCTTTATATATCCTAGGTAGATAGCACATAAGCTGCCATTCTTCTATGTACCAGCGGTATGTGGGAACTGACTGGTACCAGCTCATGAGAACTGATTTTTAAATATTCAGGAATTTTGTGAGCTGGTGGTTAAACTGTTGATAGCTTGAAATTGGCCATGGTGGGAGTAATTATACCATAGAAATTGGCAAACACTACAAATGAGGGATTTTTTTTTTTTAAGAGAGTTTATCAGCATACCACTATTGGTATACCCAAGGTAGATATTACTAATTGATAAGGGTGTTCTTTCTTGCTAAGCCTGGATTTGGTGTCAGAATCCCTCTCAGCACATGGCTTCTGACAGCAACCACCAATGAATTGAACTAAATACATGAAATAAAGTTATTTTCCATTCCTGCTATGAAAGAGTTTTCATCATTGTCCCTGGCAATAAGCGGCAGCAATCTATATTGAAAGGAGCCCTGGTGGCACAATGGCTAAGTGCTCGGCTGCTAACTGAAAGGTCGGTGGTTCGAACATTCCAGCTGCTGTATGGGAGAAAAGACTTGGCGATCTGCTCCCGTAAAGATTACAGCCTAGGAAACCTTATAGGGCAATTCTACTCTATCCTATAGGGTCACTAAGAGTTGGAATCAACTCGAAGGCACAAAACAACAACAACAAATGATACTTTCACTGGATCATTTTAATGATTTTGACATTCAAAAAACTCAAAACAACTCTGACAAAGAAGCCACAATAATATCAAACTCCAGATTGCAGCTGATTAAAACATAATCAGAAACACGTACTCGGCAGCTCTACTAATTTTCTATCTGTTGTTTTCTTGATGTGCATGTACCAGAGAAAGACACAGTCATGCATTTAGATGTTCTTTGATTGACTAATTTTTTGTATTCATTATCTATTCTTGTATAAAAACCATCTTAAAACTTAGTGACTTAAAATATTAATAAACCAGTTGCTATCAAATTGATTTTGACTCGTGGTGACCCCATTTGTGTCACGGTAGAACTTTGTTCCACAGGGTTTTCAGTGGCTGTTTTTTTGGAAGTAGATCAGCAGAACTTTCTCCCAAGGAGCCTGCGGCTGGACTCGAACCTCCAACTTTTCAGTTAGCAGCGAGTGCGTTAAATTTTTGCAGCACCCAGGGACTCCTTACAAGAGTAATCCTGTATTATTGCTCATGGTTTCTGTGAGTCAGGAACCCAAGAGTAGCTGGGTTGGGCGGTTCTGACTTTTCTGTGTCATGAGGTTGCACTCAGATATTGACTGGGGCTGAAGTCGTTTGAAGGCGTCACTGAGGCTGAAGGATGCCCTTCAAGGTTGCTACCCACATGGCCAGCAAGTGGGTGCTGACAAGATGGCTCCTCTCCACATAGGCTTGTCCGCAGAATTGCTGGAGTGTCCTTACCTCATAGCAGCTGGCTTCCCCTGGAGCAATAAGTGTAATCGTCTATGTCAGAGAATATTGAGTTCTTCATCTTGGGACGTGAGGGGTAAAGAGACCTTTGCACTTTTTGTTCATTTTGCCCAGAAAGCGTATCCCCCAGACATTGTACAACCAGCCTGCTGTCTTCATTCAAGCCTCTGCTGAAAGGTTCTCTTCAGAAAGATCTCACTAGCATCCATAAATCTCTTTTTAATTACCTAGAAATATTTTACTTCATAGCATTTATCACTATATGATATAATCTTACGTATTTACTTGTTTATTGTCTTTTTCCTCCTTAGAATAAAAAATTCTTGAGGGTAGGGACCTTATATATTCCTAAGGCTTAGAGTAGTACCTGGATATTAATACTCTGTATTTAATGATGAATAGGTCAGAGTACTGGGTCTATAGTTAGAGATCCTTGGGCCTGGGCCTGGTTTTGCTATTTATTAGCTCAGTGGGCAAATTATTTAGCTTCCTTAAGCTTCAGTGTTCTCAGCTAAAAAATGAGGTTAACAATACCTACCTTTTGGAGTTGTTACAATGATTTTTAAGTGATATAATGTTATTATAATGATATACTGAAGCACAGAGTGAATGGTTGCTTGATAGGGATGTTATCAGCATAGATCAGTGATTGAACTCATTATAGCCTCTCTCATGCTGAGCTACCGTGTTTTGCTTTTTCTCTTCTTTGTTCTGTTTTTTTTTTTCAAGGTTCTGAAAAGACTGGAGAGTAAATATGGCTCCCTGTACAGAAGAGACAATGTTATCCTGAGTGGCACTCATACACACTCTGGTCCAGCAGGCTTCTTCCAGTATACTATATTCATAATTGCCAGTGAAGGATTTAGCAATAGAACTTTTGAGTACATGGTCAACGGCATCATAAAGGTAGGCAACAAGTCAAATAGCCTGGGGCAGCTGTCCTTTACCGTTGCTGGTAGGAGGTTTAGAGGTGGTTTGGTATGATGTGGAGAGTGCCTACAGAATCTGGGCCTGAGCACAGACTTAGCATCTATCACCCTTACCCTTCCTGGCTTCCTTTTAGCTTCTGTTCCTGAGCTGTGACTATGAGGCCTGAGGCACTGATTGAGCAAGAGAGGAAGATTCTATGGCAGTAAGCCCCATCTAGTCATCCCAAGAGATGAGAAACATTATAAGTTATAGGCCCCACATGGCCTGTTCTCTGCATAATTACATGAAAAGAAACCCAACAAGAAACCTAATTACAAATAATTCCACACTTGCCTTGTATTTCCTAAAGAGCATAAAAGGGGATCCAATTTATAAACACAACATCATCATTTCTAAAATAACCTACAGCAGCTCCAGACCTCCAGGGTGTTCTTCACCAATACCCTCAAACTCCTCTTCTAATCCTGGTTCATGAGTTTTTACTCCTCTCTCTCCTGCATTTCAGCTTATTATTCTCTTATTTAGGAAACTTGATAATGTTTTCCTTCATTCATTTGCCTTCCAGGTTTAGTCTCTTTCTAGTTTTTCTCATAAACACAACCCAAATATCCAGGGGTCCAGCTGGCAAAGGCAGAACACTTTACTACAATGGTTTTCAAACTGTGGCTATCAGTCTATTAATGGCTTACAAAATCATTTTCATGAGTTGCAGTAAGATTAAAAAAAGAACTATAATAAAATAAATCAGAAAATATCATAGTGCATAATACATAAGACCAAAACCTGTTGCTGCCAAGTCAATTCTGACCCATAACGGCCCTATAGGACAGAGTAGAACTGCCCCATAAGGTTTCTAAGGAGTAGCTGGTGGATTTGAACTGCCGACCTTTTGGTTAGCACTTGAATGCTTAACCACTGCATCACCAGGGTTCCGCATATAGTAGTATATTTGTTTTGTGAAACTTTTGTTTTAGTATGCATATGTTGTATATTAAGTTATGATGAAAAACGTATCCCTTACTATGGCTCTCAGTCAAAAAGTTTAGGGAACACCTGCTCAGAGGGGCTTAGAGGGCGGAGGGATTAGAGGGAAGGGAAGGTGAGGAAGTTGCGTTAGTAAATCTTGTCCCAGTCTTATAGGAGTAATGTCTCTCATTCGACCATCTGAAATGGCAAGTGGTGCCTGACTCAGCTCTTGCCCCAGCTGCAGAGCAGTCCAGAGAGACTAAGCGATGGAGTGCTTGGCAATTTCAGGCATTAATCAGCAGGCTGCCTCCCTATACACACCTCCATCTTGAGCCTAAAGGCCATTCTGGCTACCTCCAGAATGACACCAGCCGTCATTCTGCTTTCATTCCATAATGAGGCCAGGTTAAAGACAAAGGAAATGGTCTACAGGACTCTTTCGTTTATCTTGACTAAGTCATTATTCCCACCAGGATTTCTAAACTTACAATTTTTTTTTTTTTTTTTGCCGTTAGAGCATTGACATAGCACATGCAAATATGAAACCAGGCAAAATCTTTATCAATAAAGGAAATGTGGATGGTGTACAGATCAACCGAAGCCCTTACTCTTATCTTCAGAATCCACTATCAGAGAGAGCAAGGTGAGGAGAAATTATCAAAATGAAGTCAAAGTGTTTCCTTTAGGGAACAGTAGCAAAACTGAAGTACAGGATCATTACTTGGTGAACACAGTGGAATGCTAGAAGGGTATCAACGTCAAAATAATTTTTAAAAAGTTTGTATTTAAGACAAGAAGAAACAAAAAGTGAATGAAGAGACACACACCAACCTGGGCCATTTCTTTCCCGTTTTCTGGCTGTGGGAACCAGTGTGGGTGTTTGAAGGACTGCAGGCTTTGGAATCAGGCACAACTGCGATTTCATCTTAGCTTGATGTTAAGGGATGTACTTATCTTTATTGATTTTCAGCTTCTTCGTCTGTATTATGCTTATAATAATGTACATAGCACACATCTGTTAAATTAATGAACAGCTCTTTTTATTACATGGTATCCAGAAGAAATCATCTTAGTTCAGGAGAATGTGGCGTGGGAGAGGAGATAAAAGACTAAAGAGCCAGGAATGAAGAGCAAGAAATAAAGCCAACGTAACTGAATGGATCATCTGAGGGAGATGATTATTCTGTCTTTTATTTATTTTTTTAAAGTGATGAACCAGGTTTGTGACAGAAGAGAAGCACTTGGCATTTTTCATTCGTCTGCATATATTTCAATAGCTTTCAAAGGAGATGATTTTTAGCAAAGATAATCTGGTCTCTCTTGAAAGGACATGAAAAATGCTTTAAGTTGTAGGTCATGAATGCTTTCGTGTTGCATATTTCTAGCTATTTTTAAGATGTTCCATTAAAATTTGATACCGGAGGAGAAATTTCAAAGATAAATCTTTTGTATAAAAACATACATATATGTTACATAATGCTATAAATTATATGAAACTGTATAATTCTGCTCCAGTCAGCTTACCTGGTGCCTCTAATTTTGATCACAGCTGAAAACTGTTTTCTTAGCTGAGGAATGAAGTACAGGATATAATACATGCAACTATTGCTTGTCAGGGAGACTCACTTATTGAAAGTCATTTTTGTTTTTTGGTCAGCTTTACTGTTTGTCATAAAACATAAGGGTCAGGTTCTAACACAGAACTAAGTTTCTCTGTTTTGCTCACCAGGTATTCTTCAAATACAGATAAAGAAATGGTAGTTTTGAAAATGGTAGATCTGAATGGACAGGACCTGGGTGTCATCAGGTACTCTATTTCCTTTTTTAAGTCTGTCAGGATAACTTTCCTTAATTAAGGGTGACGGAGTAGGGTATGGGAAGAGAACAGAATCATGCAGTAGAGATGAGAATAAGTCAAGTGGTTAAGTCTCGACTCCAGGAGGCAGACACATCTAGGATCCAGCTATGACGTCGGGCAAGGTTCTCAGTCCCTCAGGATTTAGTTCTTCCTCTGTAAAACGAGGTTAATACAAGTATTAGTGAGGGATCCGAGTAAAGAGGTCAGCACAGCAGCTGGCATGTAATATAAAGACTCAGTAAACATTAGCGCTTATTACTGTATCAAGATCTCATATGAAGAGCTTCTATAACAGTGCACAACGATCTCTTGCTAAAATGGGGACAACAATCTGACCAACCAGGCAAGTAATTATTAACCTGTGTTTTTCCTAAAGGAGCTTGGCTGCTAACCAAAAAGTAGGCAGTTCAAATCCACCAGCTGCTCCTTGGAAACCCTATAGGGCAGTTCTACTCTGTCCTATAGAGTCATCATGAGTCGGCAAAGGATTTGGTTTGGTTTTACAGGTTCCTAAAAGGGTTAAGCCTAATGCAGGACAATGCCGATTAATGATAAAAGCAGAACTGGTACTACCTTCCTAAGGGAAGCAGAGGAGGTGAAATTACAATTCAAAACAAATTTTAACATTGTTCTTCGATAGTGACTGCATATTAGAAAACTCATAGATTTTATTTTGTTCAAAAAGAAGGCATTTGCATTCCTATGTGATGTTGGTCCTGCATTTGGACTGACTCAGGAATCGACTGGGAGGTTAACATAGTGCCAGACACCTTGACCTTGACTTGCTCTTATTAGCTATGTGATTTGGACAAGTTCTATAACTGCTCTGTATCTCTAAAATTGTGGGATAAAATGAGTCCTTAAAATGTTAATAGTAAGTTCTAGTAAAGGTGGTGAGGGAGTGTACCAGGTAAGATTCTGAAATATCCAAATGAAAATTAACAGTGAATTAAAAATAACAAAGGAGTAAAGAAAAATATTAAACGTCAAGACTCATAGTTCAGACACCAGGGTTGGCCTTATAACTTGGCAGAAGACAGCATCGTAGTGAGGAGTTCAGGTTTTGAGGTCAGCTGGACCGGGGTTCAAATTCCAGCCCTGCCAGTTAGTAACTCTGTGGCTAGGGGAAAGCAACTCATCCACTTAGACTTCAATTATCCTATTTGAAAATGAGAATAATATTAGCGCCTATGGTTCTCTGAAGATTAAACAAGATCACGCATGCAAAGCTCTAGCTCTGTGCCTGGCATGTAAAAAGAGTTTAATAATTTTAGCTAAAAGGTAAGGAATAGAATAAGATTCTACCTCTTCCAAATAAATCCACTATTGGCATATCAGAATGCCTAGCATTAGAGTCACTAAAAGTAGGGTCACTGTAAATTCCTTCTTAAAATAAACTTTGTTATATGCACTGACATAATAGAACTAGTTATTCCATTACAATAACTTCATCTATTGATTAGTTGCTATTTGGCATTTCATTCAACAGACCTTCTATATGTCAGGCATTTAATATGTGCTTAGGGTATGTTATGATAAATAAGGCATGGTCTCTATCCTCAGTGTGCTTACAGGTTAGTGGGGTGGTTGGGGGCAGGAGACAGAGACAGACAAATAACCATAACATAAGCCATCAGTGCTGTCATGTGGGCAGAAATAAACGACGTGGGAATTTGGAGGAAGTAGTACTGAGCTTTGCCTGGGAGCATAGTGGAACGCTTCAAAGAGAAAACAACGTTTGAGCTGGACCTTGAAGGAGCCATAAAATTTTTCCTGGAGTTCATGAAGAACAAGAAGTGAGTCATGAGTCTGGAGTGTAGGCAAGGTCAGGGAGTGGGTAAGAGATGAATCTGGAAAAGGAAGTTAGCTCTAAACTGTGAAGCACTCTAGTGGAGAATTTGATCAGAAGAGGGTTCTGCTCAGGAGTGTCAGGATAAGAATGTACATCTATGGCTAGATAGACTGAGCGTCTCAAATTTGTTGGGAAAAGGTGGCTTTTCCCTTACAGTTTCTATTAACTCTTGGCTTAATGATTCAGATCATTCACGATTCTCTTTTACTAGTTTCTGAATAATTTAACAATGGGAATAGAAAGCTCAAAAATGCTATCCTTGTGGCCAGATGTTCTTTACTTTCTTGCCTATAACTATATCGCATATCTGAAAGTCCCAGGGTCAACTGTCAACGTTATAGCAATGCTTTTCCATCTGCTGTGTTTAACATACCACGATAACTTTCCATTGTTTCTATAACTGACATATGTTATTCTTGATGTAATTGTTCCTGCAATTGCCTCTTGTTGCATAGTGATAACTGCTCATTGAATATGTTAAAAATGATCCAAAATGTAAAGCCAAATCTGGGCTGCTGGAATATGTCAGCCACCACATATAGGTGCCTGCTGTTAGACAGAATCCCAGGGTGCAGGGAGTTTGGAAGCACAGAATCTCAGAATTGTATAGCATGGAGACCACCCAGTACAACCTTCAGCTGAAGGGCCAAGGCCTAGAAAGGTGATGTGGCCTGGCCAGTGTCATAGGGATAGTTTATACTGAAGCCAAGACTATCCTATTCATACTGAAAACCATATTGATGTTCCTAATTCCTTCCTTCCTACTTTAATTTTGTCTTCACTTCTTCATTGAACAAGTTTTCACTAGGCACCTACTATGTGCCATGCAGTACTTCCCAGTATTTGGAATGATGCATTCTCTGGCCTTGGGATCAGAATATCTGTGTTTGTGCTTCTTGAGCAAATCCCTTCAACTCTTGTGAGACTCAGTTTCCACATTTTTCAAATGTGAATATAACACTTTCCTTCCACACAGACATTATTATTCATTCATTCATGCATTAAATAATTGTGGAATATATGTGTCATGCACTGAGCTTGTACTAGGGATAGTCTGGTAGGAAAAAATAAGACGTAGTTGCCGCCCTTATAGAACTTAGTCTGCTGGTGGAGACAGGAGATATTCAGATAGTCATATAAATACATGTAAAGTTATAACTGAGTTAAGGGCTAAGAAAGGAAGGTATGTGGAGTTATGAAAACATATCTTGAGAGATTTGACCTCATCAAGGAGATTGAGAAATGCTTCCCTGAGGACATGACAATGGAGCTGAAAACTGTAGGAAGAGTAGGAATTAACTGGGAAAATGGGAGGTAAAGAACATGTAACACAGTGGGAGAAGCATGTACAAAAGTCCTGTGGCCCATTTGAGGAACTGATGGAAGGTCCACGTGGCTGGAGTGCAGAGAGCAGTGGGGCAGGGTGTTGTGAGATAAAGCTAGACATTTAAAAAGATTTAAAGACCATGGTAAAGATTTTGGTCTTATACTAAGGGGAAAGGAAAACCATTAAAGTGTTTTAAGCTGGGGCTGGGGATTTTGGATTCTTGAAGGGTTAGGAAGGGAGGTGACTTGAGAAATGAAATAAAATTACGTGGCTGAAAGAATTCCGTGAACCATTAAGACCTCTATAATTGTAAAGCCAACATTTGCTCCAGTTGATCTATGTAAGGAAAATATTTCTGTCTTTTTGTCTATACCACCTTATTAAAAAAACAGTGAATGAATTTTCTTCAGAAATGGAGAACACGTTTGGGATGTTTTGATTTAAAATATAAGCTGTGTGGCATTTTCAAAATTTACTTTAGGGGACTCTGGAAGACACCTCGAAGAAAGGCTGTTACCAATGGAGGAGATGAAACTGGGTCTTGAGAGATCCTGGTGCACTACTATGTACATGAAGAAGCTATTACGAGAGAAAATAAAACTGAGGCTTCAAATATCTATACCAGAAAGAAAGTCACGAGGGCAGATAATCTGCATGGCAGCCCTGGGCTGTGGCAGAGCCATTTCTCATACAGTCACTGTGCAGGCAGCTCTGGCAGTGGCAGCTAAGGAAAACAAAAACAATAACTAAACCAATTGCTGTTGAGTCAATTCCAACTCTTCGTGATCCTACCGGTGCCAGGGTAGAACTGTGCTCCATAGGGTTTTCAATGGCTGATTTTTTAGAAGCAGATTGTCAGGTCTTTCTTCCGAAATGCCTCTGGGTGGACTGAAACCACTAACCTTTCGGTTAGCAGCCAAGCACGCACCGTCCAGGGAATAGCACTGGGGAGACTGGCTCACTTCCTTAAGCATGCTGCAACACAGCAGGATCAGTCTCGCTTTTCTTCCATTTCCCTGCCTCTTTGCCTCTGGAGAGTTTTCTTCCTTGAGTTTGCTCAAGTGGCATGGACTGTTTTTCCTCACCTTGTCAGCCCTCCAGGAGTCAGTATGACAAGGCTCCTGTTCGTTAGAGCTGTAAGGAAGATCTGAGCAGATGTTTGAATGGCAGCCCTATTGCCTTCTGTCTTACACATTGCAAATCCTTTTATTCTTACATAAAGGGGCAAGGGAAGGGGAGCCTTTAAAGCCACATTTTAAAAAACAACAGGGGTAGTGATTCATTCCACCTATTGGAATAATGTGTACAAACAGAGAAATCCAATTTATGGAATAACACTAATTTATTGGAATGATATTGACATATAGAACGGGGTGTGCGGGGAGTGTAAATTTTCTCTACCATCTAAGACTATGACTTCTTGAATTATAATGTCTGCATGTTTATTCTCTATTGCTCTTTATTCTACTTCTATACTCTCCTCTCAGTCCACTTAAATCCATTCAAATAGTACATGCTCAAACCTCAGTGACCACCCTCACTAAGCCATTCTGTTTTTTTTTTGTTTATTGTAGTTTAAGTGAAAGTTTACAATTCAAGTTTCTCTCTCATGCAAAAATTTATACATACATTGTTATGTGACCCTAATTTCTCTCCCTATAATGTGATAGTACACTCCTCCTTTCCACCCCTGATTCCCCATGTCCATTCAACCAGCTCCTGACCCTCTCTGCCTTCTCATCTCACCTCCGGACAGGAGCTGCCCATTTA